GGAGAAGACAAATCGGACCGGAAATCTACCGGAACACCGGAACACGCCGGAACACGCCGGAACACGACCGGAGGACGCGAACCGGAACACGCGACCGAGGGGCCCGGGAGAGCCGGAAGCCGGAACATCCGCGAGACCTCTACCGGAACATCAGGGCCGGAACATCAGCGCATTCGGTGTTTCACAATGGCGCGCTCTCGCCGCGCCGCAGGCAAGCCCCCCCGGCAGGGGCAAGTAAGCCGTAGGCGTCTTGTCGAATCGAGTTTCCAATAGCACCACGACTCGTCGAAGCCGATGGGCTTCTTCTCGCGTGGAACGCTCGCGTTGCTGGCCGGCTGCGGCGGCGCCGCGAGTATCGCGCCGTCGCGCTTACAGATGCTCAAAGCCCTGGAATCGAGGTCGCCCTGGGTGCGCCTCGGAGCGCACGTGCGCCTCGAAAACGACGCCTACGGCGGCTGCGGCGTCGTCGTGCGCGGCGGCGCCGTCGCCGCGGGCACGGCGCTCGTGTCCGTCGACGCGCCCCTCTTCGCGCCCGGCGGCGCCGCGGGCGACGTCGGCGCGCGCGCGGCCGCGGCCGTCGGCGCCGGGCCGTCGGACGCGGACGTCTTCGCCATCTGCGCGGCGATGCGGGGCGCGGAGACCGACGACGAGGCGCGCTGGGCGCCCTACCGCGCCGCGCTCCCCTGGGCGTCCCTGCGCGAGTCGCACCCGCTCCACTGGTCCGACGCGGACATCGCGGCCGCGGCGCCCCCGGGCGGCGCCGCGCGCGTGGCGGCGCTCAAAGGCCTCGCGGACGCGCTGGAGGACGCGGCGGGGCGCGCGCCCCTCGCGACGGCCGTCGAGGCCGTGGCCTGCGGCGTGAGCCGCGCGATCCGCGCGCCGCGGTCGAAGCGCGTCTGCGCGGCGCCCTTCCTCGAGCTCATCAACCACGACGCCGCGGGCGCGAACTGCGCCTTCCGCGAGGACGATTCGGGGGCGCTCGTCGCCGTCGCGACGCGCGATTTGCGCGACGGCGAGAGCGTCCTCGTGGACTACGGCGACGACGAGCGCGGCGACCCGAAGACGCCGGACATCCTCTTCGCGGCCTACGGCATACGGTAGTCTGCGGTTTCTTTTTAAGGCCTATTGTTCATACTCGACCCCGGCCATCCGGAGCTTAATCCCGAGCTGTCGAAGGGCAACGTTACAAGTTGAACATGATTGAGCTTGAGCTCGAGAGCTCGAGCCCACGTTCGAGCCCGGAGTGGCCTCGGCGCCGTAGACGACGTACCTCGGGAGACACCACCATGGTCGCCATGCGCACAATCGCCGGTCTGCTCGTCCTGTCCCAGGGCATCGACGCCTTCCAGGGCCTCCCGAGCGCGCGCCGCGCGCTCGCGCGGCCGCCGTCCGCGCCGCTCACGCCGGTTTCCGCGCCGCCAAGCCCGGCGTCCCGGGGCAAGCCCCTGTTCGATGCGATGCAGCAGCAGTTCAATCCGAGCACGGACGGGTGGATCTCGGACCAGTGGCTGCGCAACCTGAAAAACATGCCGCGGTCGTTCATCCTGCAGCGCATCGCGGGGCACGTGCTCTTCAACGTCTTCGTCGCGACGGTCTTCGTGCGCATGCGCGCGCTGGGCGTCGTCACGTCGCTCCCCCCGGGCGCCCACGCGCTCACGGGCGCGTTCCTCGGCCTCCTCGTGACCTTCCGGACGAACACGTGCTACGGCAAGTACCACGAGGCGCGGCTCATCTGGGGCGGCATCATGAACGTCTGCCGCGACATCACGGTGGGCGTGTCGACGTGGATCAAGCCGCGCAAGCCCATCGAGGCCAAGTGCCTCATCCAGGACCTCATGCGCTACCCGCAGCAGGTGGCGAAGCAGTGCCGCGACATGCCGCTCGCGCGCGGCGACACGCCGACGGACGTGACGCTCGCAATGCAGCAGTGGCTCCACCGCGCGGCGCTGCCCGAGTCCTGGGAGAAGCTCACGCTCTACGAGCTCGCCATCGACCGCCAGTCGAAGAACATCGAGCTGCTCACGGACGCGACGGGCGCGCTCAACCGCGTGATCAACACGCCCGTGCCCTTCTCGTACACGCGCCACACGTCGCGCGGGCTCTCCATCTGGTGCAGCACGCTGCCCTGCGCCCTCGGCCCCAACGTCGGCGCCGCCCCGACCATCTTCCTCGTCGCGCTCATCTCCTGGTTCGTCCTCGGCATCGACGCGATCGGCCAGCTCCTCGAGCGCCCCTTCAGCCAGCCAGAGAACATGGGCGAGGGCTTCGACTTCGGCCTCCCCGCCGAGGTCCTCGGCCAGGGCATCGCCAACGAGGTCGAGCGCATCGGCACCACGCCGGAGGTCGGCGCGCTCGTCTAGGGGGCCGGCCGGAGCTCGCCCCCCCCCCCCCGCGAGGGGCGCTCTTCAAGGCGAGCGCCCCCGAGAACCCGAGATCCCCCCCCCCCTTTCCCCCGCGCCGGGAACCCCGAGTTCCGAGCTAGTAAGAGCCGGCGCGCGCGTCGTCGTCGCGGGTCGGGGGGCTCCGGGCCTATCCGGCGGTCGCGGTGCTCGCGAGCGCGCGCGCGCGGGCCCGCGGCGTCGGCCGTCGCCTCGGCGGCGGCGACCGCCGGGGGCCCGGCGGCGCGATGGGCGCATCCCGTCTTCATCCCGTCGGCGACCTTCTCCTTGACAAACTCAAGATAACGCGGTCCGGCACGGCTCAACGTCTCGTCCGCTGGGTCGCGTTGGCCGCGGCCGGCGACCCCGCCGCCATGGAGAGCAAGGACGAGCGGTGGTACACGCCGCGCCAGTCGTCGGCGCGCGGCTCCAGCGAGGAGAGCGCCTGGTTCTCCCCGCGGTCGAGCGCGCGGTCCAACAGCGGCCACAACTCGGCGCGGTCCGACAGCGGCGACGACGCGAAGCACGCGTGGCACACGCCGCGCGAGGGCGCGTACGCGTCGGGCGGCGGCGCGCGGCCGTCCCTCTGGGAGCAGCGGCAGCCCGAGGCCAAGGGCCGCGGCGACGACCGCGGCGGCTCCGACGACCGGGGCAGCTACGGCGTCGACGGCCTCGCGCGGCCCGGCGCCGCGGAGGCCAAGCCCGGGCCGGCCTACGCGCCCGCGCCGCCGGCGCCGGAGCCGCACCCGGAGTACGACGCCGACGTCGACAACATCTTCAGCTTCGCGCGGCACAACCGCGTCGACGACGTCGAACGGCTGCTGCTCCGGGGCGTGCCGCCGAACGTCCGCGACGTCTACGGCAACACCGTGACGCTCGTCGCGGCGCAGAACGGCCACAAGCGCATCGTCAAGGGCGCCCTGCGCCGCGGCGCCGACATCAACGCGGCCAACTACCGCGGCAACACCGCGCTCCACTTCTGCTTCAGCTTCGGCTTCGACAAGCTCGGCGACTACATGATCTCCAAGGGCGCGGACCCGGGCATCCGGAACAACGCGGGCCTCTCCTGCTACGAGGGGCTCGGGTAAGTTTCGTGGTGGAGCGACAGCGGCTGGACTTCAACATCTCATGCTTGCAGTCCACATTGGCGAAACATTCACAATCGACTGGCCCAGCAGCTCGAGCGAGGCTGTTCTAGAATTTGGCAGCAGGATGTCCGACGAAGAGCCGGTGTGCCCGCTGCCGGCCATGCGCAAGGTGCGCGTACCGCCGGTCTCGCCCGACGTCGTCGAACCGCGCGCGCGCAGGCCTGCGAGCCCAAGTGCACCGACGCCTACAAGGCCTACCTGTCCTGCGTGGACCGCATCGAGGCCAAGGGCGGCGGCGCGACGCGGCGCCGCAGCTCTCGCCCGGGGTCGCGGACGCCGCGCGCGCACCCGTGGGCGAGTCGTGTCGTCGCGCGCCGCCGAGGTCGACCGACGTCCGGCGCCGCCGGAGGCCGCGCCGCGGACCGGATTTCGCGGCCCCACTTCCATCATCCACCGAAGAAAGCGAACCGGATCGCCGACCATGGTCCCCCGCGCGCAGGCGACTGCGAGCCCTACTACTTTGACTGGCTGAAATGCTTGGACAAGTGCGCGATGCCGCACATCATGCAGAAGCTCAAGTGACCGCGATCCAGAGGACGGGATGATAAGACGGTCGCTTACTAGCTATGGACAAGGAGTGCGGGTCCTCGCGCCGCGGGGCGTGTCGAGTGGCCGCGGATCTCGTCGTGGCGGCGCGCGGCGCGGCCGGCGCGTCACCGCGTCCGGCCGGGCGCCGCCGGGGCGGGGGAGCGGGGGCGGCGGCGGGGTCAGGCGATGACGCAGGTGGAGTGGCTCGAGGAGGGCTTCTTGGACGAGCGCGACACGAGGGCGGGCCACTTCTGCGCGCAGGCGAGGTCGTCGGCCCACGACGGCGCGGCGGCCGCGCGGTTCGACTTCCTCGCGGGCGCCGTCTTCGAGCCGTGGGCGCCGCCGTGGGCGAGGGAGGGGGAGGCGTTGAAGGCGAGGGTGGAGATGGAGGCGTGGGTCGGGTGGTGGTCGCCGGGCCCGCCGCGGCTCGCCCGGCGGTCGCTCTCGCGGTCGGCCGCGCGGTCGGCCGCGCGCTGGCCGGACGCGTGCTGCGCGCCCGCGGGGCCCGGCTTGAGGACCTTGACCCAGAGGAAGAGGTGGTGGCCCCGGTGCACGGACCAGGACGTCGGGTAGCGGTCCGCGAAGCTCCGGTTCGCCTCGAGCTGGCGGAAGGGGAACGGCTGGCCGGGCAGCTGCCAGACCTTGCGGAGGTCGAGGTACGTGAGCACGCGCGCGCCGTCGCGCGCCGCGTCCAGGAGCACGCTAAACTCGGAGAAGGCGTCGCTCGGGATCTCCGTCTCGAGCATGATGATGTTCGCGCGCTCGATGTCGCGCGTCTGCATCAGGTTGCCGTGGACGACGTGGAGGATCTGCTGCGTGGCCACGTTCTTCACGGCGATGGACGTGCCCGGCGCGTGGGAGTGGACCGCCAGCGCCCGCGCGTCCGTCGACGCGAGCTTGAGGCACGCGCGCTCCGCGACCTTGTAGCGCGCCAGGGACAGCTCGACGCCGTAGACGCGCTTCAGGTTCGGGAACTGCAAAAAGGCCTGCATGGCGACCTTGCCCGTGCCCATGCCCAGGTCGAAGAGGCAGGACGCGCGCTGGGCGTCGAGGTGGCGGCCGTCGAGCGCCTTGTTGACGCCCCGGGGCAACAGCTCGCCGTAGAGGAGCGACCCGTGCGACTCGGACGCGGACCGCTTGTCCTCCTCCGTGACGCAGATGTGGCCCAGCGTCTTGTGGCCCGTCTCCTGGGTCCGCCCGCCGTAGCACTCGTGCATCGTCGACTGGGCCCGCGCGAAGGCCGTGGACAGGTCCTCGCTGTACGTCCACGGCTCCGGCGGCGCTTTACTGGACGACGGCCCGACGCCGTCGGGCTCCTTCGTCTCCTCGCCGGAGGCGCCGCGGTCGACGATGTAGAAGGCCGTGCGGAGCATCATGAGCCAGCGCCGCGCGCCGCTGTGCCGGAACTCGACGCAGTGCTTGCCGCTCGACCGGTGGTACTGCGTCACTAACCCCTCGGACCACTCGCGGTTCTCGAGCAGGACCTGCGGCGCCGAGGGTCGAGCAGCGAGCGGGGAAGGGAGATCCGGACGCTGCTTCCGCGCCGACACGCGGCAGCCGACGAGGCTCGAGTTGCTCCACGCGGTCTGCGGGGGCGGCGGGTCGCGCGGAGAAAATTCCCCCCCGGCGGGGGCCGCGCGCGCGCCGCGGGCGGGGCGGGGCGGGGCGGGGGGCCCTCCGGGCCCGGCGCGGGGGCCCGGGCGGGCGGGGCGGGGCCGGCGAGGGGGCGGCTGCGCGCGCCTTGGATTTGAGGTGCCTCTGGAGCTCCTCCAGGTCATTGAACTCGAGGCCGTCCTCGTGGCAGATGTAGGTCCCGCTCTGCGACATGGCCACCGCCAACGTCGCGGGGCGGTCCCCGGCGGCCGCGGCGCTGGGCCTCACGCCGCCAGGGTCGACGACAGCCGGGTCGCCCCCCGCTTTCCACACTCGTCGTCTGCGGCAGAGCGGAGCTCTTTGTGGACTCGAGCTGTTCGACTAAGATTCGGCATCGTGAGATATCCTCATGATGTTGCCGCGCTCTCCATAAGCTGCCCCGCGGCCACCACCCACGGCAGCCCGAAAACATGGACGAGCTCGTGGACCTGCTCGCGGGCCTGGGCCTCGAGGCCTACGCCGAGCGGCTCGACGACTTTGGCATCGCGTCCGTCGGCGATCTCGGCGACGAGGAGCTCATCACGGACGAGGATTTGATGTCGGACGACATCGGCATGAAGAAGGCGCACGTGCGCAAGCTGCGGCGCCGGCTCGGCGGCGGTGGCGCGTCGCCGGCGCGCGCGACGCCCACGCTCAAGGTGCTGAGCCGCGACGAGCTGCAGCGCGTCGACGAGGACGCGCCGACGCCGCCGCCGAGCCGCCGCCGCCGGCCCGCGCCGCGCCTCGACGTCGACGAGCCGGAGATCACGGCGGCGCCGCCGCCGCCGCGCATCGAGCCCCGGGCTTTGCGCGTCCGCGGCTTCAGCGACCAGGACGAGGCGGACCAGCCCGGCGGCCCCGCGAGCCCGCTCGGCGACGTGCCGCCGACCCCGAAGATGATCAACCGCCAGCAGTGGAGCCACCTGTCGACGGAGATCAAGCAGGAGATCTACGGGAACACGGAGTACACGCACGTCCACGTGCCGCCGCGCCTCTGGAAGGCGAAGACGCTCAAGGGCCGCGCGAAGGAGCTCCTGTCCTCGTTCACGACGGAGCAGGTCGCGCTCGGCGTCATCGCTTTGGCGCTCGCCGTGGGCCTGGGCACGGGGCTGCGTCTGGTGGGGAGCGGCCTGCGCCGGAGCTTCTGGTTCGGGTCGACGCTCGTGCCCCTGGGCGCGGAGCGGTGCCAGCGGCTCTACGGCCCCGTCGGCGCGTCCGACGCGGTCATGACGAACTTTGGCGCGCTGGTCATCTCCGAGTCGGACTTTTTGAGCGCCGAGTTCATGGGGAAGGCGGAGGGCGGCGGGCCGAGCGAGACCATCGACGGCAACCTGTGGGCCATGGACCAAATTTTGAAGCCGCGGCCGCGGATCTACCGCCTCGACACGCCGCTGCCGGACGGCGTCGCGCTCCACGCGCAGGGCCTGGGCCTCTTCGAGGACGTGTTATTCGTCGTGAACCACGCCTACGGCGCCGGCGGCGACCGCGTCGAGCGCTTCCGCGTGTCCGCGGGCACGCCGAAGACGGTCCTGGATCCGCCGCTCGCGCTCGAGTACCTGTCGAGCATCGAGGCGTCCTGGGCGTCGGGCCTCTTCATCAACGACGTCGCGCCCATCGGCACGTCCGAGTTCTTCGTGACGGCGGGGCTGCGCGTCTCGGAGATCCTGGCGAGGCCCTACGGCTTCGCGTCGCTCCTCCCGCAGATCGTCGCGCCCAAGCTCCGCGAGAGCCGCCTCTTCCACTGCGTCGACGACCTCGACAATTTCACGACCTGCGGCCCCGTGGGCCCCAGGGCCGTGTCCTGGAGCGGCGCCGTCACGTCGCCGTCGGGCGCGCTGCTCTACGCGAACGACGCGTTCCGGAAGCGAGTCGTCGCGTTCGAGGTCACGCGGGAGACGGAGGGCATGGAGCTCGTCGAGCGCGGCGCCCTCCAGCTCCCCCACGTCGTCGAGACCATCTCGCTGGACCCGACGGGCCACTGGCTCTGGGCGGGCTTCAGCCCGAACGTCCGGGACCTGGGCGTCTTCGTCGACAAGGTCCGGGCCAAGGCCGCGAAGAACTACGGCGGCCACCGGGCCGAGCACGGCTACCAGAGGCGCTTCAAGGACGCCTACATCTTCAAGCCCGAGAACGCGACCCAGAAGCGCCTCGACAAGGAGAAGGCCGAGCGCGAGGCGAAGCAGCCGTCGCGGAGCCCGAGCCGGCGCCGCGGCCGCCACGGCCGCGACGAGCCCATGCCCTCCTACGTCGAGCAGCTCATGCGCGACCAGATCCAGATGCAGCGCAACATGGAGGAGTGGTTCGGCATGGGCGGCAAGCCCTCGAAGTGCCCCTGCCCGGCGAACGCGACGAACGGCACCGCCGCGGCGAACGGCACCGCCGCCGCCGCCGCGAACGGCGCGGCCGCGAACGCGACGAACGCGACGGAGCCCCTCTGCGACTGCCCGCCCGAGGAGCCGGCGCCCCAGTCGCGGCGCGGCCGGCGGCGGCGCGGCGGCCCGCCGCCGGAGCCCGCCCCCGCGCCCGCGCCCTCCGTCGTCCCTGCCAAGGTGCCCGCGAGGGTGCCCGCGGCCAAGGCCGAGCCCGCGGCGACGCCCGCGGCGGACCCGCCGCCGGACACGGCCGCGGCGCGCGCCGCCAAGCTCCTCGAGCGGCTCAAGAAGAAGGCGCCTGCCGCCGAGGAGGCGGCGGCGGAAGCGGCGCGCGTCGAGGAGGCCGCGAAGGCCGCCGAGGCCGAGGCAGCGGCCGCGAAGGCCACCGAGGAGGAGGCAGCGCGCGTCGAGGCCGAGGCAGCGGCCGCGAAGGCCACCGAGGAGGAGGCAGCGCGCGTCGAGGCCGAGGCAGCGGCCGCGAAGGCCACCGAGGAGGAGGCAGCGCGCGTCGAGGCCGAGGCAGCGGCCGCGAAGGCCGCCGAGGAGGAGGCAGCGCGCGTCGAGGCCGAGGCAGCGGCCGCGAAGGCCGCCGAGGAGGAAGCGGCGCCCGTCGAAGCCGCGCCGGAGCCGGCCGCGGAGGAGGCCCCGGTCGAGGCGGCGGCCGAGGCGGCGGCCGCGGAGGCGACGGCGCCGCCGGCGCCGCCGCCGCCGGACGACGCGGCGCCCGCGGCGCCCGCGGAGCCCGCGGAGCAGACGGAGCCGGGCCCGCAGCCGCCGCGCGTCCACGAGGCGCTCCGGCCCGCGGCGACGCGGACGAGCTGCCGCGACTCCTACGCGTCGGACAATTTGGGCCACGGCGCGCGGCAGTGCGGCCCGCCGACGCCGAGCCTCCAGTCGGGCCTCCTCAAGGTGTCGCTCAAGACCGGCGAGGCGACGCCCGTGCTCGTCCAGACGGACCGCCTCGCGGGCGTGTCCTGGGGCCTCGCCGGCGGCATGCGCGTCATGTTCGGCAGCTCCTTCGACGAGGGCGTCGTCGTCTGCGACAACGTCTAGCTAGCGTGTTTAACTTTCGATCGCCCGTTGTCGAGGCCCCGGTCTTTCTTGCTTGTTTACGACGATCACGGGGCGAAGCGGGCGGGGCTACTCGTCCTTCGACTTCTTCTTCTTCTTCTTGGGCTTCTCCTCGTCGCCCTCGCTCTCGCGCTTGGCCTTCTTCGCGGCCTTCTTGGCCTTCTTCGCCGCCGCGGCCTCGTCGTCGTCGTCGTCGTCGTCGGCCTCGGCCTTCTTCCGCTTCTTCTTCTCCTTCTTGGCCTTCTTGTCGTCGAGGACCATGTCCGACGCGGCCGAGTAGCCCGCGGCGCCCGCGGCCGCGTCGAGGACCTCGACGAGCTTCTTCGGCGCGCCGTTCGTCGCCGGCGCGACGGCGCCGTTGCCGCCCTCGAGCTGGCGGAGGCGCGCCTCGACCTTGGCGCGCGCGTCGAAGCCGATCGTCGCGTCGTCGTCCTCGCCGAGCGCGTCGACGCGGACCGCGAGCGCGCACTTGGCCGCCAGCACCCGGGCGATCTTGCCCTTGTGCTTCGGCGCCGCCTGGCCGATGAGGGACGCGTGGTAGATGAGGCCGTACTTGGGCGTGTCGTGCTTCGTCTTCAGCGCCCGGAAGAGCGCCTTCTCCGCCCCGAGGATCTGGATCGTCGACGCCGGGTGCTTCGCGAGGTTCATGATGGACCCCGCGTGCTGCACCAAACGCGCCCCCACGAGCTCGCCCACGAGCGTCGTCAGGTTCGGCGCGATGGCCTGCATGCGGCTCCGCAGGTAGTCCGCGAGCCGCTGGCGGTACGCCGAGAGCTCGACGACCTGGACCGCGAGGTTGCAGATGTGTTCCATGTCGCTCTCGTCGACCTCCGTGCCCATGCTGATCTCCGCCGTGGCCACGAGCGTCTTCGCCGCGACCTCGTCGTCGAGGATCTCCGTCAACTCGTCGACCTTGTCCTTCGCGGCCGTCCTAGCCCTCACCTCGCGGACGATCTTCGCGTAGTGGACGTTGTCGTTGACGAGCTTGGCCATCTCGGGGAAGTGCCAGCCGTACCACTCCTTGACGCGCATGGCGTAGGTGTTCACCTCCTTGTCCAGGTCGTCGAGCAGGCCCACGGCCTGGACGACCATCGTGTCGACCTTGTCGGGCGAGAACTTGAGCTTGTAGCGGCTCAGGGAATGAGATAAACCGAGCTGCATGGCGCGCACCTCCTTGGGCCCCGCGACGGCGATCTCGCCGAGCTCGGCCTCGTCGCCCAACACGCCCGGCGTCGCGACGGAGCGCACGCCGCGCAGGCACTCGTTGACGAACGCGTTCGCCGCGCAGGGGATGCCGAGCTTGTCCTTGATGAGGCTCCCGAGCTTGGCGTCGGCGACGCCGAGCTCGACGCTCAAGGCCTTGTCGCCGACGTGCTTCTTCAGGAACTTCTTCAGGGGCTTGCCGAGCTTGCTCTCGACGTGCTCCGTCGCCGCGGCGACCGCCTCCGCGGTGTCCCTGAAGGGCGCGAAGGCCTTGAGGGCCAGGTTCTTCTCGCAGCCCGCCTCCGTCGCGAACTTCTCCCCGACCTTGGCGATGTCGAGGCCCTGGAGCTTCGCCGCGTTCTTGAGCTCGTAGAGCGCGTGGCCCGCCGCCGTCTCGAAGAGGAGGAGCATTTTCGGTAGGTTCGGCGCGCCGCTCGGCGGCCGCCTGTTTCACGCCCGGGGGTCTAGTCGACACGCGCGAGCCGCACGGGGGTCGGAAACGTCGTGTGGCACGAGACGGGCTCAATCGCCCAGCCAGCTCGGAGGCCCGACCCTCGACCCCCGGCCAGACGACCCCCGGCCAGTGCTCTCCGGCCGACGTTTCGGATACCGCGCAGTCTCAGCGCCGCTCTCCATCACTGTCGAGAGCCCCCACGAGGGAGGAGGCTGCCGTCGCCTGCGCCGCCGCCGCGCGCGGTCGCCGTTGCAGGATGCTGCGGGCGTCGCCGTACGCGAAGCGGTCCCTGCCGCTCGTGAAGAGCGGCGGCGACGACGACAAGGCGGCGCCGCCGGCGCGCGCCGCGGCGCCGCGGCGGCCGAGCCGCGGCGCGAGCTCGGCCGCGCGGTCCTACGGCAGCGTGCACGCGCCGACGCTGCCGGACTACGGCGCGCCGGCGCCCGGCGAGCGGCGGCTCCCGCACCTCGGCCAGGGCGGCGACGCCGGGGCCGGGCTGCCCGGGTCGTCGGGCGCTTCGTCGTCGTCGGCCGCGTCGGCGCGGCCCGCGCAGGCCGCCGGGCGGCCGCCGGCGGCCAAGGGCGGCGCCGGCGCCTCGGCGAGCCGCTACGGCGCCCGCGTGGGCGCGGCACCCGCCGAGCGGCCGAAGCACCGGGGGACGCTCGTCGGGCTCACGAACCTGGGCAACACGTGTTTCCTCAACGCGCCGCTCCAGTGCCTGCTGGGCGTGGCGCCCCTCGTCGAGGTCTTCCTCGACGGCTCCTACGCCGCCATGGTCAACGGCGCGTCGCCGTCCAAGGGCGCCATCGCGCACGCGTTCGCGGAGCTCGTGCGCGACGTCTACGCGGCGGAGCCCCACTCGGCCGTGAGCCCGGCGAAGCTCAAGCGCGTCATCGGCCAGCACGCGCCCCAGTTCCAGGGCCACAGCCAGCACGACTGCCAGGAGCTCTTCCGCTACCTGCTCGACGGCCTCGCGGAGGACCTGAAGCTGCCGCCGCCGCCGCCGCCGCGGCCCCCGGAGCCGGGCCCGGAGACGGAGGACGACGAGCCCGCGGCGGACGACGCGGGCGAGAGCTCCTGGGCGGCCTACCGGCGGAACAACCGGTCCCTGGTCACGGACACGTTCTGCGGCCAGCTGCGGAGCTCCGTGGAGTGCTGCTCGTGCCACCACGTGTCGACGTGCTTCGACCCCTATTTGGACATCTCGCTGCCCATCCCCGCGGCCGCGGCCGGCGGCAACGAGGCGGGGCCCGACGGCCGGCCGCGGAACGCGGCGGGCAAGGGCAACCCGCGCGGCGCGCGGTCGCGGCTGCCGAACGCGTGCACGCTCGAGGAGTGCCTCGAGACGTTCACGGAGCCCGAGGTGTTGGAGGGGGGGAACAAGGTCACCTGCGAGCGCTGCGGCAAGCTGCGCAAGTGCGTCAAGTGGCTCACGATCCACTCCTGGCCCAAGATCCTCGTGCTCCACGTGAAGCGCTTCGCGTACACGAGCGTGCGGCGCGAGAAGCTCGCGACGCTCGTCACGTTCCCGGTCAAGGGCCTCGACCTCGGCAACTTCATCTCCAAGGAGCGCGACGGCGCCGCGGTGAAGCCCGTCTACGACCTCTTCGCGACGTCGGACCACCTCGGCGACCGGGAGACGAGCGGCCACTACGTCGCGAACTGCGCCGTCGGCGACGCGTGGCACCAGTTCAACGACGCGCGCGTCTCGCCGGTGACCCAGGAGGAGCTCCAGGGAGCGGCGAGCTACGTGCTTTTTTATCGGCGACGAGACGGCTAGGGCCGACGTTCCTAATATGCGTGTGTCCTAGGAGGCCTGCATGCCCGTCGAAATTTAGGTGCACCTTGGGGGAAACATCATCGATGCAGTCCCGTCAAATCGCATTAGTTCGAGCTGAGAGCGTCTCAACCGACTGAGCCTCGCTTTGCGCCCCCGCCCACGTGCCGCTCGCGACCGTCGGCTTCGCATCGACGCCGCGCGCCGCGCCCGACCTACGAGTGGCTGCTGATAGAGCGCGTGGCCGGGCATGGAGGCGTTGGTGCAGGATGCGATAGCTGCGATTCAGGCAAACGACGGAGTCGCGCTGCGCGACGCGATACGCCGCGGCGCCGACGTGAACGGGATGGTTGCTTGCAAAGAGGGAACCACGGGAGCGCACGGCCTTTGCTCCTTGCTGTTTGTCGCCACGTCCATGGGGCTTGCGGGGATTTGCGAAGTACTGTTGGCCGAAGGAGCAGATGCGGACATACCTACCACAATAGACTCCTCTGTCCCCCTCCATACCGCTACTCTCCAAGGCTTCACTGCCTGCCTGCATGTTCTTCTGCGAGCGGGTGCGGATGTGAACGCTCAAGGTTACGATGGCTTGACTGCGCTTCACCAGGCGTGTCACTCTGGAAACGTTGATGCCGCCAAACTCATCATCGCCGCGGGTGCGAATTTGGAAGCGAGGACTCGGAGTCGACAGGGTACCACCCCGCTGCGTTCTGCCATCTTTATCGGTCACCGCGAGGTCGCCCTGACGCTGCTCCGCGCCGGCGCGGCCATCACGGCCTTGCGTAGAGCCGAGATTACGCCAGAGAACGGAGCCCTCCACGACTTCATGTTCGACATCATCCACGACGGCGGCTGGAACGCGCGCGTCGAGCGCCACCGCCGCCCGCTCATGAGCATCCTGTCCAACCTCGCGCTCCCGCACGACGCGCTCTGCGTCATCCTCTCCTTCTGGTCCCCGCCGGGCGGCCGCTAAGCTCGGCTCATGTGCTTAGGGGGGACCTCGGGTACTTCTCGCGCGCATGCCACCAGGCCGTGCAGGCCTTTCTTTAAGCCTTCCTGGAGCGCGGCCTGGGGAAAGAAGCAGTTCAACGTGAAGGAGATTTTTGCGCTGCCCCAAACGATGATCACCATCGCGCTGCTCGCGCTGGGCGTCGCGGGCGACGACGCGTCGTACCGCTACGGCCTCGAGCGCGCGCGGAACGCGGACCTCTCCGGCGCCCGGAACGCCTTCGCGAAGGTCCGCAGCGCCGAGGCCCTGCACGCGGCGGCGACGTTGAAGCTCATCGCCGGGGACCTCGAGGGCTGCGTCGCCGCGCGGCGCGAGGCCAAGGCGCTGGACGCGTCGGCGCTGCCGCCGCTCGCCGTGCTGTTCCAGAACGGCGACGACTGCGGCGGCCTCGGCGACGTCTACTGGAGCTGCGCGTTCGTCGCCAAGGCGCTCCACGAAACCGCGGACGGCGGCGACGCGGCCGCGTGGGCGTCGGCCGCCGCCGACGCCCACGCGCAGCTCAGCGTCGCCCTCGAGGACTCGGGCGCCCTCGCCGAGGCGACGGCGCACGTGGCCAAGGCCGTCGCGCTGCG